ACACACACCAAACCTTGTGTGCCAATATTCCTAGTGGTATTTTCCTAGTAGCCCCAAATAGAAACAAACCAAATACCCACTGTCTCTTGAATGCATATATAAAGATGACATATCCATACATTATAGTACTCAGATATGAAAAAATGTATTTCTGATACAGATTAAAATGTTTTCCATTTTTAATTTTTTTCAGATTTTGCATTTATTTATTTTTGCATGTTGTGTGTGTGTCTGTGTGTCTCTGTGTGTATTTGTTTGGACACACATGTACTAAGGTCTGAATGTGGAGGTCAGGACAACTTTCAGGGATTGGTTCTCTTCTCTGCACCATTGGGGTGCACTGATGGAACACAGGTCAAGCCTGGGCAAATGCCTTCATCTCCTGAGCCATCTCTCGCCTGTGTTTGAACTTGAAAATTATGGTGGTCAGTGAACCAAGCCATAGAGGATCACACACTGTAGGATCGTCGCTGAAATCTCTCAAATCACCGTCTGTACGGATAGAAGTTGATTGATGGTTACCAAGGGACAGGAGAGGTAGGATGCTACCAGAAAATGTGAGATGGCTGATAATTATGGAGTCCTTTCTGGGGATAGGAAAAGCATTCAAAAATTGATTTGGTCATAGTTGCAGACATCTGTGACTCTCCTAAAATGCATCGAGTTGTACACAATGCATGCATTGGGAATTAGATCTACCTGGAGCTCCTTCCCACATGTCGCTCAGTTAGCTGACTGCTTATCTAGCATGCACGAAGCCCTGAGTTCAGTCCTCATCACCACCCAAAACTCTATGGTGTTGCACACCTGCAATGCCATCATTTGGGAAGAGTCAGGGCAGGAGGATCAAAGTTCGAGGTTACCCTTGTTATGAAACTGTGATGAGTTCCAGGCTAACCTAGGCTACTGATACCCTGTTTTAAATCACACACACACACACACACACACACACGTGTGTGTGTGGGAGAGAGAGAGAGAGAGAGAGAGAGAGAGAGAGAGAGAATATCACTCACACCTCTTGTTCTCTTACATAGTATTTTCAAGCGTCATTCTTAGGAAAGTCCCTACCTCCTTTAACTAGGTTCTAGATACTTCAGAAGGTCGAACACAGGCTGTGTAGCTCACCCATTTTCCTCCCCCTCATCTATTTCAGGCATAAGTGCTATGCTGCCATGTTTGAAGTGTTTGTTCTTATACCTTCCCAATTTGCTTTGTCGCATATGCCAATTCCTTTAAAAATAATTTATTTTAAAGTGATGCAGCCTGCCTTGGCTATATTTATTCAATCTTTCCTGTATAGATTTTTCAGTTTATGAGTATCATAAAACAGAATTGGCTAATCTAATCTAATCTAATGTTGCATTTTAATCACTGTGTATTCTGCCCTCAGGTATACTTTGTTCTCGCTATAATTTATTGTTTTGGTCCTGTTTCAAATTATAATGGGAAGGATCTGCTGTTGGCCCCGATGACCAAGGCTACCGAAATTCAAAGTGCAGCAGATTAAAAATAAACACTCTTTTGGCCAATTTTGGGCAAACAGTTAATCTAAAGACTGTGAAAGGCAAAAAGATGAGTTAAATTGAAAGTGTTAGATCCACTGCGAAGAACATAAGTCCTTGTCACATGACTCTGAAGCGGATTCTCACGCACCTCACAAGTGTTTATCCTTCACAGAATTGGCTTTGGTGGTTTCTTATGTACCTACTCCTCTGTATTGCCCTCAGCCCTTCCCTGAGACAAACCCAGCTCAACCCAACTGTCCCAGCCCTTATGTCCCTGCCAGCTGTCTCTTCTCCCAGGCATGAACCTTTCTTCTCTCTGTCTGCTCTATATTCGTTAAAACTGCCTGTGTTTATTATTATTACTATTATTATTATTATCATCATCATCATCATCATCATCATCATTATTAAGAATAGCCTATCTTACAAAAAGCACTAGATCATGGGAAATGATTTGATAGACTAATTACTCTGGCTTAATGGTTAGTTCTCACCCAAGGTAATCCCAATCAAGCAAGAGATCCTAAAATTCAGGTCAGGTCTGCCTAACCAAAGAGAAGAACCAGTAGCATTAGAAGTTTAAGCATGAGAGCAAGGCGTTTTTGCAGTGATGGCAGACAACTTCCAAAACACCAGCTGTGCTGGTGGGGTGACCATTTGCAAGTGATTTGAAACTGAATCTTTAAATTATAGGTCCCTCTATGATTATCATGCTTACCAATATATTTTAAGGGATTTCCTCACATTTACATCCCCATCCCCACTCCTTTGTGCTATGTATACCTCACACATGTTAAGTGAGTGCTGCTCCATTGAGCCCATCACCAGCCCAGAACCATCACCCAGGTCAAGTCATGAACACTCTGGTAGAGGTGGAACATGGTAGGAAAGAGACCTCAGCTGAACTTGTGGGTGGCTTTAACTTTTATGCTTCTGAAGTCAAGTTCTGGAAGAACCATCACCTAAGTCAAGTCATGAACACTCTGGTAGAGGTGGAACATGGTAGGAAAGCGACCTCTGCAGAACTTGTGGGTGGCTTTAACCTCCGTGCATCTGGAGTCAAGTTCTGGAAACAAAAATAAGCCTTTCGATTCGGTGGAGGAACTCTAGGAGTGGTCTCGGCTATTGTGTTTGCGTTATAGTCTAAACTTCAGAACTAGCCCCAAAGAGATTGGAATTCTGCAGAGGGCCAAATAATTCTGGACCTTGGGTTGTGTGCGTGTTTTCCTTCATGAGGACAGCATGTGGGATATTTAACTGCTCAGCGAGCTGTGCTTATCCACCCGGAGAGCAATTAGGGACTGCGGCTTTCTGCTTCCTTCCTCTGTAGATTTTTATATCAGGATAGCAGTAAGGTGAGAAGTCATTAACTCGGAAAATGTTTCAAGTTGTCGTCCAGGAAGTAGAGAGTTCTGTTTGGTTGTTTGTTGTTTTCTGTTCTGGAATGTCTAGAGAATACAGTAGTGTACTTTCCCCCGAACTCTAAGAAATACTTCATACTCCAATTTGAACAATCTGATCCTGCTCCACTTTAAAAGTGACCAGTAAAGAGCAGTAAGGAAACTCTTCCGTAGCTCATCCCTATACTCTTCGTATGCCATCAGCCTTGCTTTATTGACTTTTGTGGGTAAATCTGGATGACTTCTTTACAGATACAGCCCACACCATGAGTTCGCCTTCCTTCACTCTGGCTGGGAGAAGCAACTTTACTTTTTTCTCCTCCTTTTTTCTTTTCATTTTTTTGTCTTCCATGCTGATTTGATTCCAACGCTTATCCACATCTCTCTGATAAGCACAGTTTGATTTCTAGCTAATTGTGGCAGCGATTTTCATTATTTATGAGTGTCATTGTCAGAATCCATTTGGAAGTCTGACTGAGATAAAGCTGATTCCAACTTCCGATATGACCACGGCAATAAAACAATTAGCCACACTAGTTTAAATGTGCTGGGCCTGGAGGGGGCTAATATCTTTACAACCAAATATTTACTAGATTGTGTCTTGTGTTTGATTTATTTCCTAGAAGATTCAACATGCCATTTTATCACAAATAATTTATAATACCCTCTCTTAAAAATATAATGTAGGTTTCTCATAACAGCAAATTAACACTAAAATATTCATGTAAATCCATAAGATGGAAGTGGGAAAATTAAGACCATGAGTCATATAAATACTTAATATTCATAAAAGATTTGGTAAAGAAGCTGTGTTTAAATCAGTCTTTTTCTCTTACTCTTCCTTTTATGTATTTGATTCTGGAGGTGCCTACGTCTGGGGCCCTCTCGTACAGGCAAGACGTAAAACTGGTTGAGCCTTGCCTTCTCTGGGTATTCTACAACCAAGCGGGTTTCATATTCTCCTTATTCACAGAGTAATAAAATGCTAAAATCCCCAAAACAAATACAAGCTGGGAAGAGTCATTAATACTCTAGGTCTTTCTGAAGTGTCACCTAATTTAAACACTTTTGCTTTAAGTGATTGCTGTGCCATGAGTTTTATTATGCTCAATTTATTAGTAAAGGCTTGCCGAGTTCACGGCCATTTATTTTCAGGGAACCTGATTGTATCATTAATTTTTAAAAACCTATCACTCCCACTTCCTTTGTAGAGTGCGCCGTACTTGGAAAACTCGGTCCACTTTGGTCAATACAGATGCTTCCAGGTGTTTCTTAAAAGCAAGACATCTAGGAAAATAGATATGCAATGCATGGTGATGATTTTCAAGGTGTTACACTACTGAGTGTCGAGGTGCACATGCCCATACCTACACAGATGTGCACACACATAAAGATGTACATACACATCTGCACATGCACACACATACATATGTATGCACACACGATACACACATTCACATGTGCACGTGCATGCACAAACATCTACACACACATACGCACAGGAAGAAAGAGAGAAGAAGAAAGGGAAAGAGAGGGAAGGAGAGAGAGATGTTTATATTGCTTTTTGAGTTAAAGTGAGAAGATACAATTAAAATGATCAACTCCTGTTTCCACTTAAGCAATAGCATATTATCCTGAGGTAACCTTTTTTTCACCCAAAGAAGTAACATGTAAGTGGAAAAAAGATCCCATAGTTAGGACCAAACCAGGACAGATGGCCAATTCTGTTGTTTCACAGTCGGCTAAGCCAAATTCTGCCATCAGAAACCAGTGTTTCCATCTGTGTTAGGTTTTCATGGTTGAGCCATGAACCCATCTCTGGAGGTGCCTATGGGTTTAAGTTGACTAAAGCAATCTGAGCCAAAGTCCGCATCCAGTCCACTGGGCCTCCTCCCTCCCCATAATGCATCCACTTGACCATATGATGCAAAGCTGGTGCAAACCCCTGGTGCCGATAGCGGGGAAAGCCTGGACAATCGAGGGTTTCTTTCAGGGAAGTTTTCTTTTTTGAAAGAAAAAAAATAAAGAAAAAAAAGAAACTAAAACGCAGGACTCATATACTTACTAGTTGTTGTCTCTCTTTCCCCCTAATTAGGACAGAATTTTACCCTAAGGCAGTTAGGCGTGTGTGAGTCCGCAACTCGAAGAGGAGTGGCATTCTGTGCAGAAATGGGGCTCCCTCACAGAGGTTACTCCATCAGTGCAGGGTCAGATGCTGATACGGAAAACGAAGCAGTGATGTCCCCAGAGCATGCCATGAGACTTTGGGGCAGGGGGGTCAAATCGGGCCGCAGTTCCTGCCTGTCAAGCCGGTCCAACTCAGCCCTCACCCTGACAGACACGGAGCATGACAACAAGTCCGACAGTGAGAGCGGTAAGTTGCATTGCTTACTTTCCTATGTAGACGTTTAGTGCTTCCGTATTCCGGTTTCCGTATTCCGGTTGGACTGTGATTCATGTTTTCCTTTCATGCTTTTTCTTTCTTGTCTTTTCTTCTTGTGTTAATGTGGTACGGCCCAAGAAATTCTTGTAAACAGCATGGGGACTTGTCCCCTGGTGTACGGTGGGATCAATATTTGATGTCCAATTATTAAATTGCGCAAACTCTGTATGGTGTGTTAGATATGGTTTTGAAAAAAAAACAGTTTGTGTACAGGAGCAAGGGGAAAGAAAAAATTAAGTCTGACTTATATTGGATCATGTCACCTGTTAGCTTTTGTGGACTAGGAAAACCTTGTTGGTAAACTTTGCCCTGGAGTGAGCTTGCAATCAAAGATGTCTTAGCAGATTCCTCTTGAAGGTATCTCAAAGAAGTCGCAGGATCTTAGAATGGGCGAGTGAGCACACAGTGTAGTTTATTAACAGGGCTCAACTGATTGAAGAGCAAATTTGATCATGCTTTCAACTTACTAGCTTAGAAGAGCAGTTGAAATCTCGGTAAAGGGTAGGAATGTGGCCTTTGATGTCTTTGGGAGCTGGATTACTATGCAATTAAGTCCACATACAAAAAAAAATTGGATTTAAGGATGTCTAAACAGCAGCTTTGCCTGGTCTAAAAAAATGTCATTATCAATTACTGGTACTTATGTCCTATTGCCGGTGTGGAGTAATGATATAAAAAATTGTATGCCGTAATAAATTGAAAAGAAAACTTAATATTTTAGTAAGTCAGTACTGCTAAGAAGAATTGGAACAGCGGCACCAACACAGAGACAATTAAGAAAGAAATCTCTCCAGCTTTTAATATTAGGCGTGTGCTTCTCCTTCAGCCTGTCATTAATGCAGTGTCTGTCCTATACATCAAAGATCTAAGAGAAAATTAAACCAGAAGAATTGCAGGATGTGTGAAGAGGAAGACGATTGTTTATTAATAATATTTCACCTGTATTATTTATTGAGCATCTTCGTCAGCTTTGGTATGTAGCAGGAGCGCAGATCTGTGCTTAGTGTTCAGTGTCAGCTGAGAACCAGTGTGACTCGGTGCTCCCTCCTGCTGCCTAGGCATTTCCTTGCTATTCGCGGGGTGGAGAAGTTTCATTTCAATCATTGGAAACAATTTATTTTATGTAGAATCCTCTAATGCATTAATCCAAAGTGAAGATAAATCGCCAGCAGCGGCTTGCTAGCTTCCTATTGGGAGTACAAGTCCTCAACGGTTTCCCGCTTTATCCCAACACCATCAATAGGAAACAAGGAAGACTCTATTTCTCAAAATGAGTGTTAGAATCATGCGGCCAACATTCCCTCAGCCAGTCCGTTCTCCTCAGTACAGTCTGTGTTTACATTAGTTTTCATAGCAGATAAAGAAGTCACTAACCTTAAGTACTTATAATTTGAAATAAATATTGTTTCATGCACTTCACATGAAACTTCTTGAGCAATTACAGCTGTATGCTCAGGTGCTGCATTTGACCTCTTTATTTTCCTAATTACACGACAAAATATTGCATAAAAGAAAAGACAATGCATGCAGATATTACATCTCATTCTTTTTATCTGAACTATAAGCAATCCTTGTCTCTATTTAATAATGTTTTACATGGATTCGACTTACCTTTTTCACTCCAAATCTTTGTAGCATAAATTTATTTTGTATTAGCTAATTGTGTATTAATTTTATTATTTTTAGTTATGTATCATGGCAGATTTCTTATTAACTAGAAGGGAATGGCCTGCTTACAGAACGAAGGAAAGTGAAAGAAAGCCATACCTTCACTCCCCACAACGGCAGTTAGGAAATGACATCCAGAGCCTTACCATGGAACTCTGGACATTTGGCAGTGTTTGCTGAAGGTAAACAGGTCAGCTAAGAGCACAGAAGAAAGTGTCAAAAGCAATATTTTTTAAGTTAACCAGTGGCGACTTCAACTTGGGCTTACTCTCTCCTCGAGCTCTGGTTGAGATTGTTTGTTAAACAACATTTTGGTGGTCTGAGAATCCTTGATGAGGTTCCTTGGAGGAAGGACACAAGAGGAAGTGAATTGATTGATGTTATCAGCATGGAACCTGGCCATTTTGTGTCTTTCATATGTGCATCCATAAGAATATTTCAGGTTCATTTGTTTGTTCTGAAATTTCAATGATTACTCGGAAAGAGCAAAAAAGTCATTAATTGATTATATTTACTTCTAAGGAAGAGCAGTTATCTGAGGTATGTAGCAGACTTTAGAATTATGGATTGTGAAATCAAATAAGGGTGATGAAGACATTTTTTTTTGCCCTGATATTAAAAAAAAATGCTTTTATCCCTCCTTGGCTACTTTAAGGTAAGAATTAAAATTTTTAATTATATACAGGTCATTTAAAAAATTTTATTTCTTTATTTCATGTGTATGGATGCTTTGCATATGTATATGTCTGTGAGCCTCATATGTGCTTGGAACCTGTGGAGGACAGAAGGAGGCATCGTCAGATTCCCTAGAACTGGAGTTGCAGGTAGTTTTGAGTTCCCATGGGGTGCTGGGAATCAAACCTGGATCCTCTGGAAGAGCAGGCGACGCTCATAGTCACAGGGCTCTTCATCCCCTTATAAACAATTTCACTACTACCTTTAGTCAAATATTTCTAACATAAAATTTAAAAAACATCTCAATTCTGCTCTCCTTGGGTGTTTTAATTTACTCTAACTTTGACAGAGTATTGATCTTCCACTTACATTTCATTGATTTCTCAGTTATTCATTATCCAATTTTACTCATCTTGTACTGGCTTTAGATATTGGGCAAGGTCCTTAATGCGCCCATGCACGTGTGCGTGCGTGCGTGCATGCGTGCGTGTGTGTGTGTGTGTGTGTGTGTGTGTGCGTGTATGTGGTTGTGTGCGTGTGTATGTGTGTGCGCGCACGCATTGTGTGCATGTGTGTGTGTGATATTTTACAATATAAAGATGAGAACATTGAAGACTTAAGTACAATAATTAGTCATAATGACGCCATTAAGGGTCCAAGATACGACTGTGTTTTCACTGAGTTTAACGTGGGAGTTCGCACTGCCCATTTTCATCATTGGGAAGACTGTGAATGAGACTGCTTTCCCTAGGAAAAGATGTTTGTACAGCTATCCAAGCTGAGTGCCTGTCATTCTAGTATAACGTCAAAGAAAAGTTAAGTCACTAAAGGGAAGCAGATTTCATTTATTTGTTGTCAAAGAGGCCGCAAGTTCACGTGAAGAGGTGCTGTAGCCACTGCGATGCTGATGTGCCTTGGGTGGCCGGAGCATCTCATGTGAGTAACAACCATAGGACCGCGCCACACGGCTCACTGTTGGAAAAGATAACAGAGATTCAGAACAAGGGAGAATGTGTTGTTGTTTTTTTCTCTTTTCTTTTTCTAAACTAACTTTTCATCAGCCACGAGAATTTGCCGTTCCAGAGAATTTGGAGGGGACAAAAAAAAATCAGTCTATGATGCTTCCCATGGAATTCCAAGCTGGGGATATGGGAGAAGGCCTTTCTTGGTAGAACTGGTGTCTGTGATAGTGGTCCTTATTATATGTCAGCTGCCTGGCAAACTGGCACGCACTGGATGGTGGTGATTTGTGACCCCCCCATTACCAGCCACTCCAACATGAAAGCCCTTGAAAGGTTACGAAATAAATGCAATGGGTACCCGAATCAAAGGTAAAATTACCCGTGGTTTTGGATCGTTTTCGGCTTCTTTACTCCCTCTGATGTGTGGTTGAAAGACCCCTGACCTAATTCCCACTAATCTAATCTTGATTCCGGATGCCTATCCAAATGTCAGGAACAAAGGACTTTGCGGTGTTTTCAAAACATCCATCTTTTTGGCTTAAAAATGTTCTCTTGTACATCACTTCCCAGGCTTAGCAGCAGGCCTTGCATTTAATCTTAATTGGTTAACAGTGCAGTGTGGCAGAAGCTGCCAGAGTAAAGACCTCAGCTCTCAGGGTTCAGATCCTCGTCACATTTGCCCCCATCCTTGACCCCTGTTGTCTGCGTTGCTGGTACTGCCAACACTTTATACCATGTCTGTTACTTGGTCAGCTAAGCTGCCAGCTGTTTGTTGGGGGGTCCCTAATCTCACTTTTTCTTGTCCTGTCGATCTCTTAGTGTTCCTGGGGAGGAGGGTGTGATGTTTAATTGAAGTTTAATCAAAGGATGATGTTCGGTGTCAGGCTGCTTAGGGGGAGCTGGTCGTACTTTCTGCGTCACCATGACTCAAGACCTAGAGAGTTCTCACAGAAGGTTTCTTATTGGCCCCTGGGTCTCCCAGTTCTGGGACCTGGGGCAAGTCACTCAACCTTTTTGTGTTACAGTGTCTACCTGGGTAAAACTGAAGTAACAGCAATAAGTCATTGGATAGGACGACGCTGGGCTTAAATGGATTTATATTGTAGTCAGGACTTGGCTATAAGTGAGTGTGTGCTGTTGCTTTTATTTACAAAGATGGAAACTCATATCCTTGAGTGATGATGAGAATTAAATCAAAGTATCTGCCTAGCTTTGGTCCACAGTAAATGTTCCTCACTGTCATCCCTGCTTCCAATCCACCTCTCTCTTCTTATCCTGCTTCAGGCCATAGTCAAGTATGTACGGGGTCTTGTAAGAAGAGGAAAGACAAGACTTGGAGTCTCCACTGATGATTCGCAGAGTCTGTAATTTCTGTCACCATTTACTGACTTTCTTATTTTCTTTCAAAACCCCACATCCTTTTCAATTTACTGTAATTAAACGAACGTGCATTGAATGGCGCTGATAATTAGTCTGATGGCTATAGACTTCAAAGGCTTCAGCCTGCTCCTTCCCCTCCTGGCCAATGGAAATTTTAAAAGTAGTGTTTCCCTCAAAGGCATGTTCCTTAGACAGCCAGTCAATTAAAAGACCATTTAACTGATGCTCTCTGGTTCACACAACAAA